AGCTAGCACACACACCCGATAGCAAAAAACTCAAAAAAAAAAAGAAAGAAAGAAAGAAAAGAACATGCCAGGTGTGTGTGTGTGCATGCCCCACATCCCAGGTGGAATGGAGAAGGGATTGTGGCATGACCATCTTCCCTGGGGGGGAGGGATACCTCCTTTTCTTGCTCTTCCTGTCCCTGCCTTCCTCCTTCCCTCTCCCCTTAGTGAGCACCCCTGCTGTATAGCAAATTTTTTTTTTTAAAAAGGAAAGAAAAGGCAGATGTGGGGCCAGCAGATGGCATAGCCATTATGTTGTGGACTCCCACCTCACTGACCACAGTTCGAGTGCTGGACCCAGTGACTTGAAAATCACGTTGGGGGACCAGCACATGGCATGGTGGCTAAGGCACTGGACTCCTACATGGTCAACTGTGGTTTGGGTCCCAGACTTGGTGGCTTGTTTTCTTTCTTTCTCTCTCCCTTTCTCTCTGGTGAGCACATGTGCCTTAAAGCTAACTTCAAATAGGGAACCAGCAGTTAGCGTAATGGCTATGTCGCTGGACTCCCACGTAGTCGACCGCAGTTCACATCCCGGACCTGGTGGCTTAAAACTCATGCCGGGTACGTGTGCGTGCGTGCCCAAGATCCCGAGGGGAGAATGGAGGAGAAGGGATTGTGGTGTAACCATCCCCCCTGGGGCGTGATTTCTCGCTTTCTGTCTCTCCGTCTCTCTCTATCTGTCTGGCGAGCGCACGTGCCCTATAGCAAAAACCTCTCCAAAAGAAAAAAAGAAAAAAACTAACTTAAAATAGTAATAATAAATGAAAATTTAAAAAAGAAAAGTCAAAGGCAGTTACCACTGAAATCCTTCAGTGAGATCTTCACATTTCTTTTGTCCTATAGAGCTAGGAAGTGCCATCCACAGTGTGTCACCTGGTGGTTGTGGGTGCAGTTACTGCAGATCCTCTTTAGGGCTGGAGGAACGTTGATCCTGTGGTTCTGAACGGGGCAGGGTGTGTGGGGCGGCATGGGCCAGAACCATGTAGAAAGCTTGCCCTGGGAAACTGTCTCCCTCCCAGCTAGAAATGGAAAGAGAAGAACCCCAAGAGGTGAAGTGAATTTGGCAGCCGAGGAGAGAATAGCTGGGTTCCTAGAGCCCAGTGGTAGTGTAGGAGAGGACTCAGCTAGAGGGAAGCCCTGGCCAAACAGTGGGACTGAAGCCACCGGGTAGAGGAGACCTGGGCAGCGTGCCGAGTGGTTACGCGGCTGGATCGCACAGCTGACCGTCCCCTTGGCGTCTCGGAGGCGGGAGCAGTAGGTGGGCATAAGCCTGTGTGCCCGAATCCCGAAAGGGGGAGACGAAGGGGTTGTGGCGGACCGTGCCCATGGGGCTGGGGTACGCTTGCTTTCCTCTCCAGTGAGTGCGCGTGCGCCCTGACTAAATTTTCCCAAGGAAAGATGAGGGAAAACGGCGCTCAGACAGCTCCCACAGCCAGGGCGCAGGGCCGCAGGGCGGGGGGCCGCAGGGCGGGGCCCAGGGGGAGGCCCGTCTCCTGGCTCCCGGCCGTCCCCTTGCTGCTGTGCACCGCTTCCGCGGGTTGCGGTGGAATTGCGTGCTCACTCACCTGGTGAGCGGTTCTTTCCTGCGGCTGGTCTCTCGGAGTAGCAGTCATTTCACTTGTGCAGTCGGCGCTGAGACTGATGATGCTGGTTTGGGCGCTCGTTTTACATGTTTTCCTCTCTAATTCCATCTGTAGGGAACAGAAGTCAAAGCGGTAACATACTCGGCAATGCAGATCTACAATGAAGAGAAGCCGGAAGTGTTTGTGATCATCGACATATGAGACACCGGGGAGGGGATAAGACCCGGCGCTGCCCTGAAGGAAGGCCTCTCTCTCTCTTGAGAAAATGCCATGATTTAAATTCTGCATATCTGTTGATATATGGAAATTCACGAACAGAAATTAAGTGTGGCTTTCAGAAATGGAAAACGGGCACAGCCGTGGTCCCTGACTCCCACACTTTCAGACTACACACTTCTCACGGGGCAGTGACAGCTCCTCAGCTGACAGCTCCCCACTGGGGACAGGGCCCGCTGGCCTCCCAGCAGGCTGCAGTCCCTTCGGCAGGGCGCCAGAGACCCTCACTAATGTAAGCGGCAGCCCAGGCCTGGATCCCGTTTGAGGAAGGATAATTGCAAAAATACATGTTTACACCTGGGATTCTGCTTCTCTCCGAAATAGGCTAAGACGTACCTGTGTACAATACACCGAGGGTCGCTGAGGGACACCCCGTGTGCACGGTACACCGAGGGTCGCTGAGGGACACCCCGTGTGCACGGTACGCCGAGGGGTGCTGAGGGACACCCCGTGTGCACGGTACGCCGTAAAAGGGGTGAAGCTATTGTTCACTTGGTGAGGGTGGGGATACAGCTTTTTCAACTGGCAGTAAAGTGAGTAACAAGTTAATGAAGAACTTTAAGGTGGGTTTGTGGCATGCTTAAGCATTCTATTGTGCCTGTGGCACCACTGTTAAGTATTTCATTAGAACATTAGCTACCATGGGGCTGGAGTGTCCTGGGCCAGTTTTGGCTTAAAAGGTTATTTTTAAGTTTATGTTAAATGTATCTTGAAGGGCCTTCCAAAGGTCAAAAAGACACCCCGTGTGCACGGTACGCCAAGGGTCGCTGAGGGACACCCCGTGTGAACGGTACACTGAGGGGTCTCTGAGGGACACCCCGTGTGCACGGTATGCCAAGGGTCGCTGAGGGACACCCCGTGTGCACGGTACGCCGAGGGGTGCTGAGGGACACCCCGTGTGCACGGTACGCCGAGGGGTCGCTGAGGGACACCCCGTGTGCACGGTACGCCAAGGGGTGCTGAGGGACACCCCGTGTGCACGGTACACTGAGGGGTCACTGAGGGACACCCTGTGTGCATGGTACACTGAGGGTCACTGAGGGGTGCTGAGCGACACCTCATGTGCACGGTACACTGAGGGGTGCTGAGCGACACCTCATGTGCACGGTACACTGAGGGGTGCTGAGGGACACCTGTGCACGGTACGCCACGGGGTCGCTGAGGGACACCTGTGCACAGTATGCCGAGGGGGCGCGAGGGACACCTGTGCACGGTATGCCACGGGGTCGCTGAGGGACACCTGTGCACGGTACGCCGAGGGGACGCTGAGGGACACCTTGCGTGGTATGCCGAGGGGGCGCTGAGGGACACCTGTGCACAGTACACCACCACGGGGTCGCTGAGGGACACCTGTGCATACGCCGAGGGGACGCTGAGGGACACCTTGCGTGGTATGCCGAGGGGGCGCTGAGGGACACCTGTGCACAGTACACCGAGGGTGGGCTGAGGGACACCTGTGCACGGTACGCCAAGGGGACGCTGAGGGACACCTTGCGTGGTACGCTGAGGGAGCGCTGAGGGACACCTGTGCACGGTACGCCGAGGGGGCACTGAGGGACACCTGTGCACGGTACACCGAGGGGACGCTGAGGGACACCTGTGCATGGTACACCAGGGAGCGCTTCTGAGGGACACCTGTGCACGGTACCGAGGGGGCACTGAGGGACACCTGTGCACGGTACACCGAGGGGACGCTGAGGGACACCTGTGCACGGTACGCTGAGGGAGCGCTGAGGGACACCTTGCACGGTATGCCGAGGGGACGCTGAGGGACACCCTGTCACACCTTTCTGCTTCTCCCTTTCTGTTCTCTTCCTCAGACTTTTTTCCTTCTCTATTCCAGTTTCTTCCTAGTGTTAATCTTGCTCTCGCCTATATCTTTTTTTAAAGATTTATTTATTTCCATTTGTTGTTATTTTTTAATATAACCAGAGTGAGACAGAGAAAGAAAGGGAGGAAGCAAGCCACCAGCTCCACAACTCAAACTACAGTCGGCCATTTGGGAATCCAGCGCCTTTAACCACCACGCCACCTGCTGGCCCTCTCTCATATCTCAGCTGAGTGTTTATTTTCAAAAATCTGAGATTTCCTTCACACTAAACTGATCTCCCCTCTAGAAAGCTCCCGTCCAAAACTCATAGTATTAAACACTCAAAGGGTGCATCAGTCCCGAGAGGAGAATGGAGGAGAAGGGATTGCGGTGTGGCCATCCCCCCGGGGGGTGATTTCTCGCTTTCTGTCTCTCTGTCTCTGTCTTCTGGCAAGTGCACGCACCCTATAGCAAAACCTCTTCCCCCCAAAAAGAAAAGTTATGGAGGGAGGGGTTGTGTGGCAGGTGGTGTGGTGGTTAAGGGCACTGGACTCCCACATGGCTGACCATGGTTCAAGTCCCAGACCTGGTGGCTTACTTTCTCACTTCTCTCTCTCACTCTGTGCCTCTCTTGTCAAATTAAAATAAATAATAAAAAGTTAAGTAAAATAATTCCATTAAAAAAAAATGAGTGGGGAAACAGCAGGTGACGTGGTGGTTAAGGGTGTTAGAGTCTCGGGGGACCAGCAGTTAGTGTAATGGCTATGTCGCTGGACTCCCATGTAGTCGACCACAGTTCGAGTCTCAGACCTGGCAGCTTGCTGACTCTCTATCTCTGTCTCTTTCTGGTCAAATTAAAATAAATAAAGTTAAATAAAATAATTCTTAAAAAAAAAATACTTATGAGCGAAAAAGGGAGGAAGAATACCGGATGGAAGGATCACTGGGTGGAAGGGAAGGAGATGAAAGGCTGGAAAGAAAAAAGTAACCCTGGTCATACTTGAACCACGCTGGCCAGGTGCCCGTCCCAAATCCCTCTGGCGCTAGTCTGTTCTCTCGGGAGTCCAGCCCTGTCCAGTCCTGTCCTTCCTGGGCCTCCCACAGGCCTGCCTGCAGACTGCCAGAGCGCCTGACACTAAGAGCAGCAGCCGCTGCCCGCCGTCCTGCTGTGCGGGGAGTGTTGGGGGTGTGCTAGCCGGGGACAGCCGAGGCGGGGAGGTGGGAAGGCACAGTGCGGTGCAGAACACAGCCACAGCCTAGTAAAATAGGTGCACAGCGTGCCTTTTGCTCGAGTGGAGAGATCAGCTAGCTCTCAGCTGTAGGGTGGTGGTTTCAGGCTGGGGTCAGAACATGCGACTGCGTGGGTTTGAGTCCCTGCGGCTGCTCTCGGACACGGCCTGGTTTTCAGGGCAGTGTGGTCGGTCCCCTTCTCAAATTTCCACATACTCCTGTTCTAAGTGGGGAGGGCGTGGGGATCTGTCAGATCCTGAGAAATGCGGGCTTCTTACTAAGTGCTCGTTGCACAGGACCAAAAAATGTCTGTAAATGTCCACCATCACACACGCACACACACACACATGCACACGCACACACATGCGCGCACCAGAATCTAGCTTTCGGGCTGTAGGTGTGAGGGCTCTCCGGGGGTGTCTTGTGGGGCTCCAACTTTCCAGAAGAAGTAGTTGTGGGAAAAATGAAAACAGAGGGGACCAGCAGTTGACATAATGGCTATGTTGCTGGACTCCCACATAGTCGACAGAGGTTCGCATCCTGGACCCGGTGGCTTAAACTCACGCTGGATGTGAGTGCATGTGTGCCCAAGATCCAGATCCCGGGAGGAGAATGGAGGAGAAGGGATTGTGGCGTGGTCATCCCCCCTGGGGGTGATTTCTCGCTTTCTGTCTTTCTGACAAACGCACATGCCCTATGACAAAATCCTCTCAAAAAAAAAAAAAAAAAAAAATAGAAAACGGACAACGT